CCCTGTCCCGGCCCAGGCTGCCGCCCGGGCCAGCCTCTCAGGGTGCATGGGGCAGAGGGCCACCCGGGGCAGAGACAGGGAGGTCCTGTGTGGGCGGTCCTGTGTGGCACCTGCCCCTCTCGGAGCCTCAGTGTAAGTCCATGAGACAGGAATAACATTGTGTCCTCACAGGCTGCTGAGAGTACATGAGAAGGGCACTCAGAAGTCTGCACCTGCTCTCGGGGGCAATGGACCCTTCTCTGGGAGTCACCCCGAGGGAGAGGCTGGTGACTGCCTGAGGGACTCCCTGGCCCAGGCGGTCAGGATTCAGCAGCCTCAGCCTGTCTGCCCTGAGCGCAGGCAGGTCCTGGCCCGGCCGCTTCTGTAACCGGCAAGCCGCTCCTCCGAGCCTGCTGCTGGCCATCACGGTAACGCCCTCCGCGGAGGCTGGCACTCTCCCTGCAGCAGTGTGATGGCATCAGCCCGGGCAGCCCCGCCAGTGGGCACAGGGGACGAGGGGACACACGGCTGCAGAGGTCCAGGCACGAGAGGCCACAGCCAACCTCAGACCAAGGAGACGGGCACCCGAGAAGGAACACGGCTCCTGGTGGGAGGAGGCCCTTGTCCGAGCCACAGACCTGAGGGATGGCTGTCCCCTCCGACCTCACGCCTGCCCGCTGGGAAGGAACACTCACCCGGGGATGCCGCCGGCCTCCATCTTGTTGGCCACAGTGACATCGGTAGACCACACGTCATACTGCCAGCGCTTCTGGCCCAGGACGCCCCCCAGCACAGTGCCCGTGTGCACCCCCACACGCATGTCCACCCCGGTCTTCGTCTTCTCCCGCACATACCTGCCAGGGACACAGAAAGGAGGGTCAGGGGAAGCCGCAGCCAGGTGCCGGCCCCCTCACCCCCTCGCCCTACAGGAGGGATCCCACATGCGTTTTCCTCCTCTGGGCCAAGTGGCCAACTGGGTGCCCCCCAGCTTTCTGTCTGCCTTTGAGCTGAGCAGGCAGAAGGACTGCCCCCAGCCTGGTCCTGAGGGACCTCCAGTTGTATAACATGGCTACGTCCCACGTAACATCGCTACATCCCGCACTACATGCCTGAGCAGACTCCTCCGGGGCCTGGGGGCTTCTGGGCCACCACGACAGACCTGCTCCTCCCACGGGCCCAGGCGCCCCCTCCCTGCAGCGGCACCCACTTACGAGATGGCCTCCACCATGGCGAGCCCCATGAGGATGGAGCAGACGGCGTGGTCCTCCCGGTAGTCAGGCAGGCCGCAGATGCAGTAGTAACAGTCGCCCAGGATCTTAATCCGCAGCTGGTGGTATTTCTGAAAGGGCAGGGTGCGGGCTGTGGCGGGAGGAGTGACAAAGCAGAGGAGGGAAGGAGGGAGGGACCCACGGAGCCGGCTCAGACCGCGAGGGGACTCACGGCCGCCAGCTTGTCGAAGCGGGCAAAGAGCTCGTTGAGCAGCTTCACGAGCTCCTGGGCGCTGCAGGTGGAAGACAGCTGGGTGAAGCCCACGATGTCCGCGAAGAGGATGCTGCAGGGAGGAGGCACCGCGGTGAGGCCCCCGCCGCACCCCTGCCGCCACGCCAGCTCCTGCTCCCAACCCAGGGCAGCCAGGATCCCGGGGAAGCAGGTCCTTGCTCAAGCCCCAAAGCCGTGAGAACCTGGGGCTTTGAGGGTGAATTTGGGGCTCTGGCACTTAGCTTATCCTGTGGGCTTCCCTCTAGGGGCCCCAGGAGGAAGGCAGGAGCCCAGCGCTGGCCCTGAATGCTGGGTGGCCTCACAGATGCCACTTCCTGGCTCTGGGTGATGCTGGTACAGCAACGGGGCTGGACCACAGAGCCCAAAGCACGTTTCAGCCCCGATGCCCGTCAGCAAGGCTGCTCACACTGGGGCTCACACTGTGGGGAAGGCTCTGCTTCTAGTCCCAGGGGTGACCTTAACCCTCGGCGCTCAGCTGACCCCACAGGGCCCACCCCGTCCTGCTCTCGGAGCCCGTGCGGGGCCGGCGCACCTGACGTTCTCATGGCGGTACATGTACATGGTGTTGAACTGCTGCTGGTCCTTCTGGCTCTCGTCCTTCTTCATGTCCTTTAGCATCTCGTCAGCCACATGCTTGGGCAGGATGGACAGCATCAGGTTCTCCTGTGGGCACAGGGAGGGCAGTGAGTGGGGACCTCGGGGTCTCACTGGTGCCCGTCCAGGAGCAGCTCAACTACTTCCGGGAAGAAACACCCGATTCTGGCAACGTCAGCCAGGAGCCATGCGCCCGCCCCCCAACACACCGCAGAGCACAGCCCAGGACGGGCAGCACCTGCACTGGCAGGAGTGCTGATGGGAGCCGGGAGCCCAGGAGGAAATCCAAGCCTGGCTCCGGGCCTCCGAGGCGTCCCCCCTGCCACAGGGAGCGTGACAGGTCCTGGGGGCCGTTCTCCCCGGCTCCTGCCCCGAGGCAGGGCCTAAGCAGGAGGCGCTCCTCCCCTCCCCTGGGTGGGCAGCCAAGAGGCCCCCAAGGATCTGGTATTGAACCCCAGCCCCTACCAGCCAGAGGGCTGGGCCTCAGCCCCCCGACAGAAGACAGATCTGCTGGAGGGCAGCCCCTCCCATTCCCCTAGGACGGTCTGCAGACCAGAGCCCCCACCTGCTCGCCACCACAGCACAGGTCCCCACCTCCCATCTGGTTCATGAGCAAAATCAATCCTCTCTCTCAGAGTGACTCACATGGCGAGGTATAAGTGGGAGATGCCTGCTCACACTCTCCTCACTTCATTCCACTAAACCCTGGAGATTTCTGCGAAGGAACTGTGTTTGCTCCTGTGACTTCCCATGACCCTCTCTCTGAGAGAGACTCACATGGCGATAACGAGGCACGTCCGCCTGCCCAGCCTGAGCACTCACAGTGGCCATGACTATCACTCTGCATTTCCACAGCAACGCCCACCGTTAGGAACCTCTGGGAGGGCATCACGGAGCTCAGGAATGAGAAGCCCAAGGAACCCAGGGCAGGTGGGGGCGCAGGGACCGCCCCCTGACACGGGGACTGAGGACTCTCCTGGAACAGGAGGATTTTTTTTTAACCCTCACCTGAGAGTGAGGGCATTTTCCCTTGATTTTTTAGAGAGAGTAGAAGGGGAGAGAGAGAAAAAAAAGAGAGAAACATCGAAGTGCCACCTCACCTGAGAGTGAGGGCATTTTCCCTTGATTTTTTTAGAGAAAGTGGAAGTGGGGAGAGAGAGAGGAAAAAGAGAGAAACATCGAAGTGCCGGAGACACATGGATTGGTTGCCTCCCACATGCACCCCGACCAGGGTGGGGATCAGTTCTGTAACCCAGGTATGCGCCCTTGACCGGGAATCGAACCGGAGACCCTCCGGTGCACAGGCCAACACTAACCACTGAGCAGCGCTGGCCAGGGCCAGGAGGATTTTCAAACCAGAGACGGGGGCGCTGCCAGCTCTCATGGGCTGCCGAGGGACAGAGGTCTCACTGACTGTAGAGCAGGCGGGGTGCTCTGAGCATCGCCTCGCCCGAGTCCATCTAACGCTGGAGACCCTACACAGCTGTGAGGCTCATCCTGCGCTCAGGACAGTCCTGCCGGCTGCTTCCTGCCCCACGCCCCCTAGCGGCTGACGGCGGCTGCGCAGCCACGGCGGGGAGAGAACCAGTCTCCAGCAGGACACTTAAATTCCCTGAGCCCTGTACCAAGTGCTGGCAGGCAGGGACGCCTGATAAAATACTGAAGAATGTCATATGGCAACGGGTCCTTCCTCTCATGAAGCGCTCCTAGAATCCAGAGCTGGGGAGAGCCTCCAAGGGTGGATATGAATGTGCGATTCTCAGACACTCACCTGGCTGACAGCCACATTAACAGTGTCCTGCCTTGGGTATAACTAAAGACATGAGACTGTTCACAGCTTCACCCTCACATGAACAAAGATGAAAAGTGAGTGGAGAGCCGGCCTGGGCCCAGGAGGGGGCCGAGGTGAGTAAGGAGGGGCTCCCACTGCCTCCTCGCGCCCTCCCTCTGCTCCCCGCCTCGGCATCCATGTCACTCCTGTGGCTTCCACTGCTTCCTCCCTGCAGGGACCCTCCCTGCAACCCAGCCGCTCAGAGCACCACACGCGTTCCCAGCGGCGGACAGGACAGTCACCTCCCGCAGGCACCAGCTGGCCCTCTGAACGGAGGCCTCCAGCCACCTGCTCAGCGGGACTCGGCATCGCTGTGATGCCCACCTGCACCTCACAGCTCATTCCGCCACCAGGCCGCGCCCAGTCCTCTGCCACCCCTCCGCCAGCCCCTCCTTCCCGTCCCCCAGTGCAGGGGTGGGTGGGGACTCACCGAGCTGTTGAGGCCATTCTGGGAGGCGGTTTTCTTCACCTCTGGCTTGGACGCGATGATGAGGTAGGTCTCAATGCCCTTCTCCTCTAGGTAATCGCAGCGGCTGCCCCCCTCGCCGGGCTCCACGTCGAACTCTCCTTTCAGGCAGTCCAGGGTGCTCTGGGAGATGTGCACGCGCCTGCAGCGCAGCCAGAGAGGCCCTGAGCACGGGCCCTCACCCGCGCCCTGTCCCGGTCCAGGCTGCCGCCCGGGCCAGTCTCTCGGGGTGCATGGGGCAGAGGGCCACCCGGGGCAGAGACTGGGAGGTCCTGTGTGGGCGGTGTGGCCCCTGCCCCTCTCGGAGCCTCAGTGTAAGTCCATGAGACAGGAATAACTGTGTCCTCACAGGCTGCTGAGAGTACATGAGAAGGGCACTCAGAAGTCTGCACCTGCTCTCGGGGGCAATGGACCCTTCTCTGGGAGTCACCCCGAGGGAGAGGCTGGTGACTGCCTGAGGGACTCCCTGGCCCAGGCGGTCAGGATTCAGCAGCCTCAGCCTGTCTGCCCTGAGCGCAGGCAGGTCCTGGCCCGGCCGCTTCTGTAACCGGCAAGCCGCTCCTCCGAGCCTGCTGCTGGCCATCACGGTAACGCCCTCCGCGGAGGCTGGCACTCTCCCTGCAGCAGTGTGATGGCATCAGCCCGGGCAGCCCCGCCAGTGGGCACAGGGGACGAGGGGACACACGGCTGCAGAGGTCCAGGCACGAGAGGCCACAGCCAACCTCAGACCAAGGAGACGGGCACCCGAGAAGGAACACGGCTCCTGGTGGGAGGAGGCCCTTGTCCGAGCCACAGACCTGAGGGATGGCTGTCCCCTCCGACCTCACGCCTGCCCGCTGGGAAGGAACACTCACCCGGGGATGCCACCGGCCTCCATCTTGTTGGCCACAGTGACATCGGTAGACCACACGTCATACTGCCAGCGCTTCTGGCCCAGGACGCCCCCCAGCACAGTGCCCGTGTGCACCCCCACACGCATGTCCACCCCGGTCTTCGTCTTCTCCCGCACATACCTGCCAGGGACACAGAAAGGAGGGTCAGGGGAAGCCGCAGCCAGGTGCCGGCCCCCTCACCCCCTCGCCCTACAGGAGGGATCCCACATGCGTTTTCCTCCTCTGGGCCAAGTGGCCAACTGGGTGCCCCCCAGCTTTCTGTCTGCCTTTGAGCTGAGCAGGCAGAAGGACTGCCCCCAGCCTGGTCCTGAGGGACCTCCAGTTGTATAACATGGCTACGTCCCACGTAACATCGCTACATCCCACATATCATCGCTATATCCCGCATGTCACTGCTACGTCCCACGTAACATCGCTACATCCCACATATCATCGCTATATCCCGCATGTCACTGCTACGTCCCACGTAACATCGCTACATCCCACATATCATCGCTATATCCCGCATGTCACTGCTACGTCCCACGTAACATCGCTACATCCCACATATCATCGCTATATCCCGCATGTCACTGCTACGTCCCACGTAACATCGCTACATCCCACATATCATCGCTATATCCCGCATGTCACTGCTACGTCCCACGTAACATCGCTACATCCCACATATCATCGCTATATCCCGCATGTCACTGCTACGTCCCACGTAACATCGCTACATCCCACATATCATCGCTATATCCCGCATGTCACTGCTACGTCCCACGTAACATCGCTACATCCCACATATCATCGCTATATCCCGCATGTCACTGCTACGTCCCACGTAACATCGCTACATCCCACATATCATCGCTATATCCCGCATGTCACTGCTACGTCCCACGTAACATCGCTACATCCCGCACTACATGCCTGAGCAGACTCCTCCGGGGCCTGGGGGCTTCTGGGCCACCACGACAGACCTGCTCCTCCCACGGGCCCAGGCGCCCCCTCCCTGCAGCGGCACCCACTTACGAGATGGCCTCCACCATGGCGAGCCCCATGAGGATGGAGCAGACGGCGTGGTCCTCCCGGTAGTCAGGCAGGCCGCAGATGCAGTAGGGTGCAAAGGCCCTGGAACAGGCGTGAACTGGGGGAGCTGAGGCCAGGGCTGCCAGGCAGAGTGAGTGAGGGGGCTGGGCGGTGAGGGCCTGACCCCAGCTGACCACTGCTCCTCTGAGTGAGACAGGAGACCCACGGAGGGTTCTGAGCAGGGGAGTGACACGATTTCACCTAACAGGGTAGGGGCAAGGACAGAGGAGGGTGACTGGTTGGGATACGATTGCAGGCATCCTACATGAGATGACAGTGGCACAGACAGGGATGGTAGCTGTGGGCGGTTGGAGCTCTACCTTTCAAGAAATGCCAACAGAACTTGCTCTGGGTGGTAAAGAGAGGGGTCAAGGCCCTGCCTTCTTGGCTCTGTGGATAGTGTCGCTCTGCCGGATGAAGGGTCCCCCAGTGACTGGTTCGATTCCAGTCAGGGACACATGCCCAGTTTGCGGGCTTGATCCCCAGTGGGGGGCGTGCAGGAGATGGCCAATCAATGATTCTCTCTTGTCATTGATGTTTCTATCTCTCCCTTTCCCTTCCTCTCTGAAATCAATAAAAATATATTTTTAAAAAAGGGGGTGGTCAAGAAGATCCTCAAAGCTTCTGGTGTGAGCAAGTTGAAAAAATGGAGCGGCCACTGGCAGGTGAGGAAGACTGAGAAGAGCGGCCATGACAGGTGGAAAGGCTGATGAAGAGGGCTTGAGTGTGGAGAGCAGGAGCGAGCGCGCGCCGTCGCCTGGGAACTCCGAGCTGCCTGCTCTGCACACGCCTGGAGATGCACCAG